GGGTAATCTAATTTTCATTTTTTGAAATTTTTTAACATTTAGTGATATAGAATTGTAGAAAAAGTAAAAAAAACATATTTTAGAAGGAAACGATTTTTTTCAAAAAGCGATATTTAAAAATTAGAAAACAAGGGAGCTGTAAATATAGATTCCTATCTTATCAGCAGTCGGTAAGGAAGGAATCTTATTTACCGTTACATAGTTTCCTGACTTATCGACAGGAATCAGTATTATCGATTGAGTAGTTACTATCAGTAGGTTATTAGTTTAAATCTTATTTTTATTGGGCTAATATAACTTCTATTTTGTTTTATTTGTTGGTATTTTTCACTATTTTATTGAGTATGAAATTTAATTTATTTTGCACTGAATCTAATCTCTGTCTTTCATACTTTTAATCAATTCTCCATTTTATATTTTAGAACAGCGAATAAAAATTTTGCTTTCTATAATAAGGTGGATTCAGATTCATTTTTTTTCTTCGGTCTAATTTAAATTTTATTTTCTTTTTTAATTATTTCGAAATGTAGAATTGATTGTAGAAAACTTTAAAAACTCAATTTTTTGAAAGAAACCATTTTTTTTTTAAATGGATAATAATTTATAAAAAGATAAGGATAAAGGTTCAAAAAAACAATTTGGTAGGTAATGTAGATTCCTACCTTAGCAGCAGTCGGTAAAGTAGGAATCTTATTTACCTCTTAACCGGATGTATAAAGTTTTACTTAATCCGTTAAAAGTTTCCTAACTTATCGACAGGAAGAAGTATTACCGACCGAGTATTTACCGACTGTAAGTTATCAACTTTTAAAAATAAAATATGGAGAATTCAATTATTATTAAGATTAAGAAAATTTGAATATATTATTGTAATTGTAATTTTATTATTATTATTATTATTATTATTATTATTATTATTAATTAACTATTTTATTATTATTTGCATTATTTTATTTATTTTTTATAATTATAATTAACTTCTTTTCTATTATCAAAAAATTATTTTCGAACATAAGATGTATCGTTAAAAAATAAAATGCTTTTACCTCTTTAAAATGCTTTATAATGAATTGAATTTACTAATATACGTGTAGTATATATTTTTAGAAATAACTCAAGTGTTTTTTTTCCTAACTCCATTAAAATTGGATGTACAGTGGAAATTTAATGATTTTTTTTTTAAGAAATTAGAGTTCAAAAATAGATTTAACGATACAAAATAATTTCTCCCTTCAATTAAATTATGAGCGTCTATAGTTTTTTTTTACGGATTAGGACTATGAGTAAAATCATTATTAAAGTACTTCTATTTTGAGGTAAGAGGGAAAATAAATTTCAAAAAAAGAAGAAGAAGAAGAACACAGATGTTGAAGTTAGTAATAAATGGAGCTTGAAGCTATAAATGACAGTATGTGTGTCTTCAAAAACATAAGTTCGAAAGGATTGTCTTCAAATTCCCTAAGGTTTATTACATACTCCTCTCTCTCTCTCTCTCTCTCTCTCTCTCTCTCTCTCTCTCTCTCTCTCTCTCTCTCTCTCTCTCTCTCTCTCTCTCTCTCTCTCTCTCTCTCTCTCTCTCTCTCTCTCTCTCTCTCTCTCTCTCTCTCTCTCTCTCTCTCTCTCTCTCTCTCTCTCTCTCTCTCTCTCTCTCTCTCTCTCTCTCTCTCTCTCTCTCTCTCTCTCTCTCTCTCTCTCTCTCTCTCTCTCTCTCTCTCTCTCTCTCTCTCTCTCTCTCTCTCTCTCTCTCTCTCTCTCTCTCTCTCTCTCTCCTCTCTCTCTCTCTCTCTCTCTCTCTCTCTCTCTCTCTCTCTCTCTCTCTCTCTCTCTCTCTCTCTCTCTTTCTAACAGTTTTACTAATTTAGTACCAAAGCGGAAATCACAGATTATAAGTGATTTTTCCATACTAAAACTGACTATCACTGAAAAAAAATATTCTTGTTTTGAGAGGAGAATTCCTCTTTTAAAATCTTTTTAAATTTTATTTTATTTTATTAACAAGAGTATTTATCTTGTACGCTATTTTCCTTTTTTTTGAAGAGGATCGTAGTAAGAGGACTGCTTTAGCAAATTCCTCTTACATTGAGAATAATCTCTTCAAAATAACATTAATATTCTCAGAACTTAGAATATTCTCTTTGGTTTAATACAATAAAAAAAAATATCTTTGAAAATAGAGGAAAATTCCTTTTGCAAAAATCCTCTTGAATCAAGAATATTACTCTTAATCGAAGAGTATTTTCCTCTCATTTTAAAAGGAAAAATTCTTGAATAGAGAATAATCCTCATAAAATAAGAGGAATCCTTTTACGTGATATTCTAGAGGAAAATATGCATCAAAATAAGAGGAATCCTCTCAAAACAAGAATTTCTTTTTTCGATGTAATATTATTTAAACGTGCAATAGAAGAACTAAAAGGATTTAAAAACACAGAAAAATCCGTCAACTGAAATTAAGAAAATATTCTTGTCGCCTAATTAAGAATATTTTATACTTAAATTCAGTATATATTACTCTTAAAACAAGAATATATATTTAAGAATATTTTATATTTAAATTAATATATTAACTATTTATTCTTATTTTAAGAATAATATAAATTGAATTTAAGTATAAAAATATTTTTAAATTTGCACCAAGAATATATTCTTAATTTAAGTTTACGCTTTTTTCTGTAAAGTGATAATAATATAATTGAATCTTGTTCTTTTGTGAATAAAAAAAGAAAAAAGAAGTTCACAAGTAGAAAACATATAAGGGGCAAGACAATTTTCAACGCAAAATATACCTCAGAATTAAAAAAAAAAAAAAAAAAAAAAAAAAAAAAAAAAAAAAAAAAAAAATTTAAATGGCCTAAATTGATTGTATACAACGAAAAAATAAAATAATAATAAAATCTCACAATGAGAAGAATGAAAGGAAATTGTACGGAAAGAAAATAGAATATAGCTATAAGAAGACAGAATAAAGAATAAGAATCTTATAAATGCAGTTCAAATTAAATAGCAGATAAGTAATCTCCGAAAATGTTGAAAAGATATACTTTTTCGTTTCCGGGTATCGTGGGAGAATGCACTCACACACACAGATATAGGCCATATACTGTACATAATATATATATATGTGTGTGTGTATACGCGCGGTGTTTGAATTTCACGGTCCAGATGGTCATCGTCCTATTGAAAGTTTACCTCACTCTCTGCAACGAGCAATGCAACTCTCTGGACAAGAAAGAGATGGGCAATTAGCTCCATGGAACGCTGCTGGAATCCCATGATCGACTATTTCAAGCATGTCAGTGTAACGTCCCGTAAGTCGTAAAGCATCAACATTGAAAAACGTGATGCTTTTCAGATTCTTCGCAAAGTGCTCTTTATTTACAAGCTGTATTTTCAGTTAAGCTTGTTAGAGCCATTATCTTTAATCTTGTTGAATTTACAATTTAATAAAACGATGTCAACAACAATATATATAAATCTTTTTGTTAATCATGTTATACATGAGAGTGTTGGTGTACAAGTATATTTTTCTAACAACAAGTTTATAAAAATAAAAACAAATACCGCAAAAATTTAACTTACATTTAAATCTTTTTTACAATCTGCATTGGACCTATTTTAAACCTATTTGGGATTTTTTGTTGAACCTACAACTTGTTAATTATAGGGTAAACATAGGTCCAATGTAGGTCATAATAGGTTAAAAGTAGGTTCAATGTAGGTCTTTTTGGTCTTATATAGGTTCAAACTAGGTCCAATGTAGGTTAAAAGTAGGTCAAAGTAGGTCCAATGAAGGTAATTTAGGTCTAATTGAGGTTTAAATTAGGTACAATATAGGTCAAAGTAGGTCTATTGTAGATTTAAACTAGGTCTATTGTAGGTTTAAACTAGGTCAAATATAGGTTCAACGTAGGTCTAATGTAGGTTTAATAGAGGTCAAAAAGGTTCATAGTAGGTCTAATGTAGGTCCAAAGTAGGTTTAATATAGGTCGAAGTAGGTCCAATGAAGGTAATTTTGGTCTAATTTAGGTTTAAATTAGGTACAATATAGGTCAAAGTAGGTCTATTGTAGGTTTAAACTAAGTCAAATATAGGTTCAACGTAGGTCTAATGTACTATGTCTAATTTGACTATAGGTCAAAAAGTTTCATGGTAGGTCTAATGTGGGTCTAAAGTAGGTTTAATATATGTTAAAGTAGGTCCAATTTAGGTCAATTTATGCCCAATGTAGGTTTAAAGTAGGTTCAATTTAGGTCCAATGATGGTTTATAGTGCAATATAGGTTCAATGTAGGTCCAACGTATATTCAATTAGGTCTGGATAGTTTAAATTCTGAGAATTCGCATTTAGATTAAAATTTTTAAATTAAGATTCAAGTGATTCTAATTTAATCTTAATTAGTTCTTTTAAAAATTCTTAAATTGTTACTAAAACAAAAACTAATTTCTTTTTTTTAATATTAGAGAAAATATTTCGTTTTAATTAAAAATTTTTTTATTTTATCTTATTACAATTACTATATATATTCTTAAATTTTTGTAAAAAAAAAGTCGTTCATTATACACTTGTAATTATACATCTGTAGTTCAATCGAATCAATCTTAATGCAAGTTACTTGTTAATAGGAAATAGATTAAAGGAGACACGTGCGTGTTGGTCAAAATTTTGAGCCCCTTTATCTTGACAACCCGTCGTTATTAGGTAAAATCAATCACCATGCTTCAAATGTATTGCGCTTTCACTAGGACTACAATTTACAATTAGTCAAATACACGTCTCGGGAATAGTTTACTTTATCAGCTCAAAAATTTACCTCTAGATCAAACTATATATGCGTACAGTGTACTCCGGTCGATAATCAAATTTTGATTGGTTCGTTAAAAATTATTAGCATATTAGAATAGCCAATCAGAAAATAAAATTAATTCCATATGGAAATATCAGTTGTAAAAAAAATTTCATCAATAATATTTTCTATAGAGATTTCATCGGAATTTTGATAGTTTTCGTCCAATAACAATAACAACAATACCAAAAATGACAATAACAATATGAATAACAAGAACAATAACAAAAATAACAATTAAAACAATGCCAACAATGACAATTAAATCAATTACAAAAACAATAATAATAACTACAACAATATAAACAACCATATAAACAACAACAGCAACAACTATAACAAAAAGAATAACAGCAATGATAGAAACAATAATAATTAAAACAATAACAACAACTATAACAAGAACAAAAACTATAACAACAAAAATAACTTTAACAATAACAACAACTTTAACATTAACAACAACTATAACAAAAGCAAAAACTATAACAACAAAAATAACATTAACAATAACAACTATAAAAAGAACAAAAACTATAAAAACAAAAATAACATTAACAATATAGAGAACAATATGAATAACAAGAACAATAACAATTAAAACAATGCCAACAATGACAATTAAATCAATTACAAAAACAATAATAATAACTACAACAGCAACAACTATAACAAAAAGAATAACAGCAATGATAGAAACAATAATAATTAAACCAATAACAACTATAACAAGAACAAAAACTAGAACAACAAAAATAACTTTAAAAATAACAATAATAAAAAAAAAACAAAAACTATAAAAACAAAAACAACATTAACAATATAAAGAACAATAATAGCTTAAAAAAGGCAATAACAATAAAAATAACAAGAACAATAACAACAGTAATAACAATAATAACGACTAATACATGACCAATAAAAACTATTACAATCAAACCAGTGGCAACAACGAACCAATAAAAATAATCATATAAACAATTATAACAACTATATCAAAAACAATAACATAAACAATTATAACAACAGCAATAACAAAAACATCAAAAATAACATTTACAACAATAATAATTAAGAAAATAACAACTAGGACAAGAACAATAACAATTAACACAGTGGCAACAATAATGTTAATAACAACAACAAAAGCAACCATATGAACAAACATAACAACAACTATAACAAGCACAATAATATTAATAAAAGCAACATTGAGAACAAAAATCCTCACTGTTAATTCCTATATGAGATAGGAAGACATAGGAAATAATAATTTTTATAATTAATATTTTTCGGTTCGTAACAAGCTGATGGTTACAATTTGAATTGTATAAAAGTAATCAGTAATACATTTCAATGAATAAAATTCTATGCGTATATATATGTTATAATAATCAATGCGATAACAGGTAATTGACAAAAATCGTATTTGAAATATAGCCAATACGATGTTGTTATATATATAATGAAGAATATAGTATATGTCCATTGTTATATTGATTCTCGAGTTTATTGAAAAGTTGATTATTTTTCAATAGTAACTTATTAGCTGGTAGCGCGTTTATCTATATATATATATATATATGTGAAAAGTGGAACTTGATGAAGTTTTAACGGCGTTCATTAGCGCTCACGTATATTCTGTCAATAATGTCATTAAACATTATCGGGAGCAATGTTTCTCCGTCTCTCTTTTTCTCTGTCTGTCTGTTTCCCTTTCTCTCTCTCTCTCTTTTTCTCCTAGTGAAATAAACGTGATATCATTGTAGAGGAATCGCAACGTGAGCCATGAACATCGACAGTCGCGACATTACATAGCAACCTTGCGCTCGATCGTTTTGTTTCCACGCCTGAAAGTAGGCAGCAAGCTTTTGTTGTCTCGTGTGTCTGCTTCCTCGTTTTCCCCCTTTGAATCTAGTATATACAATATATATATATATATATACCTATAGAATCAACAAGAGCAGTAGAAGATCGAGAGACAATGCATCGAACGATATTATCGGTGTTGCATTCGGATTATTTATGAGGCCACATCGTTACGGTCGATTTAAACATGTGTACAAAATATTTGATCTTGCCATATTGAACTTCCTCTTCCTCTCAAGATAATAATGGAACGATGATTCTAATCCTAATGTTTTGAGATCTATTGTTTGTTGAAAAGGTTTAGGTTTTTTTTTCGCTTGAAAGATCTGTTGTGGATTCGCTTTACGATCTGCTCCTTTTTGATTTAGACGATTATTGGAAGACTTCATGATGTTCCAGTAGAATATTTCCTTGATACTTTGGAATCATTGGAAGATTCCATTGTTACAAAGGAAATTTGCAAGATTTTGAAAAATGGTAAATAAGAAATTATTTACTAGGTAATTTCCATTTAGAAAATTTTTCTATTATAAATATTTTTAATTATTTTAACACTTTTGACAAACACACAGATTTGCTAATGATTAAACGATACAATTGCAGACTAAATAGGTAGTAGCATTATTATAAATTAAATAGGCTTATCAAAATAACAATATGTAATTAAGTATTTTTTCAAATAGAAATGCGAATTCACCTCTGATGATTCAAGTGATTCTTGATTTATAACATTAAATGAATTACTACTCTGGCTAGAACCAACCACGCGGGAGTGAAACGCAATGTAAAAGTGAAGGCCGAGTACTATAGGAGTCGTTGAGTAACTACAAAAATAATCGTACACTTGACTTGAGCAGTTTTGAGTGGCAAATGAAGCGGGAAATTTAAATTTAGTTTTATAAATAAAACACTACAATAAAAAGAAAACAGAAATTTACGAACTAATTTTAATAAATCAATCTTTTTCAATGAAATAATACTTAAATTATATGCGAAAAAGATTTTTATTATTGAAATTAGATCATTAATGACTTAAAAATAAATTTATTATCTATCTTACTTTAATATTTCATTATCTATTTTTATTAAAAATTATACATAAAATTTATTCATTTATAATATAAATTTTATTATATTACTTACAATAATAGCTGCAAATAAGCTTTAAATTAAATTTTCATTTGCGAAAATACCACAGAAAAAAGCTAAAACACAAGAGAAAATCACAACACATTAGACATTATTTAATGATAAAAAAAATTTATTTTACTTTGATTCTTATATTTTCCTTAATATTTATTTGCGAATATATTTTTGAAATTTATTTACGTAATACTTTGACAGCACAATTAAATTACATTCATTAAATTAAAAAGAAATAAAAGAAAAAATATTTCCTAACCTACAAATTTTCTAATGCATGCATTAAGATGCATGAATTTACAAAAATTTTCGAATTATAAAATTGCTACTTATCGACGATTATTATCAATTTTGTCACTTTTTGATTTTAATCTCACTTATTCTGTGACTTTTTAAACTTCGACGGTATTTATTTAGAAAAATCGCTTTGTTTACTTTTCGTCAAAAATACTCGTGTCACACGAAATGTCTCGATGTTGTCAAGTACTGCTGGAATCATAAAGCGTTCATTAAAATTTAGATAATAATAGCTTAGATTTGCAACTCAACAGTTTCTTGTAATTTTCTTTTTCTGTAGTAGGACCCAGATTGCTTTTTATTTTCTGACATCTTATCTTATTACGAAACCGTTTTTTTTAAATATCGATCAAGAAAATCATTACTTGAAACAATTCTATTAACTGTTAACAGTCATGTTAGGTTGGAATCGAATGTGTTTCAGAGTTGGGTAGCGTTAAAGTAAGGGTACGGACACAATTTGCGTCTGCATTATACTAGTAAAGCTTTAGGTTTAATGGTGTGTTCACACTGTATCATTTATGTATATAAGTGATTGGTAATCAAATCATTTGAGATAACCATTTTACCTGGTTAAATTAGAAAAGTTGTTGAAAAAATGTGTAAAAAAATAGAAAAAGAATATTAAAAAAGACTTTGTTCAATCACTATAAAACTTGTAAAAAAATGTATAATTTGTAGTTGAGGTTATGTTTACAAAAAGGCAATATTAGGTTGGAATCGAATGTATTTCAGGGTTGGGTAGCGTTAATAAATTCAGAAGTTAAAGTAAGAGTGCGGACACAATTTGTAACTGCATTTCACAAGTAAAGCTTAAAGGTATTCTCACACTGTATCATATATGAATAAGCAATGAGCAATTCAATCATTTCTCAAATGGAAACAAAATACTTCAATCATAATATTAATTTAATTAACCCCTTCACGTTTATTGACCTCTATAGAGGCATAAAAATGTAGTGCCACAAGTGTGTATGACCCCTATAGTAGCATCTAAAAAAAATAAGTAGACACAATACGATAAACTTGTCAATGGGTATTCTTAGGTATGGTAATATCAAGTTTAAAAAAAAAAAAAATTTCCCACATACGGGGTACGGAAGCATTATTTCTGCTACACTGCGAAGGGGTTAATATCGACTTAAAAACATTTAAAGAATTAGCAAATATATCTGTAACAATGTTATTAAAATCGTAAAAATCTTAATGAAAGGGAAAATAAAATTCTGAATTTTCCATGCTTCTGTTCTTTCTGCCGAAATTATTGTCGTTGTCGTTGTAGTGAGCGTGGGACAAGAATTTGGGATACTTTAAAATCTCAAGAATCCTCCTTCTCCAAACCTCTACAAACGACCTCTTATTTCTCACTGTGGTATTTTCAGGTCGCAAAACCCAACTGCCCGTAATCGTCACGGGACCGAGTCTCCAGTGTTCTGCTGTTGCTGCCTGCGAAAGGTAAAGAAATTGGAAAACTTTTGCAATAAAAAAAAATACAAATGGCACGTCATGCATTTCTTTAAAAGAATTATTAAAAGCTGTTGCCCGTATTACAAACGCACAAAAAATAAAGAAGAACAAAAAAAAAAGGAGCTGCAAATTACCGAGTTTTTGAGAAAATATACAGTTTCTTCTTGTTTAAAAGTTATTTAACGCCGGTACATTAAATGATTGCACCTTGAGAATCTTGGAGGGAATTATAATTTTTTTTTCTCCTTTATTAGAATTTGAAACTGGAAAAAAATAATCCAGTCATTGTAAAATTGTTTTTCTATGTATATATACATATGTATATTTATCAATAAATCTTAAGGGGGAAATAATTTTCCATGTAAATTAGGAAATTAATTTCGTGCAATTAATGACCAAAAAAAAAAAATGGAAAGCAAAAATAATATAATTCATTTTATAAATATGTCAGAATTTATATTTAAGAAACTAATAGATGACGCGAGTAGTGGCGATGTTTGAAGATTGTAAAATAAGATTCTAAATGAAACGAGTGCTGAAAGTCGTGTGAATCGTTAATAATAATTGAAACGATGGTGGTAGGTGCTCGCGGAATGAAATATGAGGTATGGATGCTATAATGACCCTTGCAATGTCAATACGACCTAAGATGACCTTATGGGGTATGAAAACGTGTCTAAGAACACGGGACTTCGACCTGGAATTCGCGTCGCAAAAAGACATATACTACAACCGCGTCGAGGATGTTTAATGTTGAATTTACGAATCTTCTAACGAGCCTAGGTCAACTTCGTTTTCTCAACTCTTTAAGTTTATATAACCTAAGCAAGCCGGATATAAGTATATATATATATATATATATATATATATATATATATATATATATATATATATATATATATAGAAGAGGTCGATGTACACTGATGAGCGCGCCCTTTCACGATATATAAAAATATATTTTATATATAATACCAAAATGATACGAAATGTGTTTACATGTATTTTGTAGGGAAATTTAAATATTTTTCCACCATTAAATTATCTCGAAAGCAAGGATTTTAGATTAGCAGAGCAGTGTTCATTTAGAATACTGTAATTTCGATGACCATATCTGTTGTATAGGAACTGTGTTTTTCTGACATAGTTAGCAGTGATTTATTTCATTTGACTTCATTTAATTTTCGTGAAATAATCTCGAAAACTGTATACCTGAAAGTCTATAACTTTGCGCATTATTCTGTAAATTCCAAGAAATAAATCCAGATATAATTTTTTAGTTAAATGAAAATTAAAGCTACAAGAGATTTATTTGCCATCTGTGTAAGATTTTAGTTTACAATTTTTTGAAAATATTCGGATACAGAAAAAAATCCTTTTCTTCCTTTCGCAAATACTCCGCACTGATTGTGAGTTTCAGGAAGAAAATAAGTGGAATTGAAAAATAGAAAAAAAAACCAGTTC